GGAGGGGGCTGCGGGTATGTTCATGTCTGTGCCATTTGCAAACAAGGCCTTACTGCACTGGCACTCGATGATGAGTACCACGAGCACCATGAACGGCGGCAGCAGCAGCTGCTGCTGCTGCTGCAGGGGCGGTAATATGAAAGGGGACACTCTGCTCGACTGCCAACCGCCAGATGCCAACCCGCAATTTGCCAATGACAGCTGGATGCCGCATCTGGCACCCATGATGAGTGCCGTCGCATAGGGCGTCCAGGACGGAAGAGAGAGTGCCAGACAGGCCGGCCTGCCCTGTCCTGCCCTGTCCTGCCTCGCACCCACTCCCTCCCTGCCGTAGCAGCCGTAGTACTGCAAGTAGAGTAGCAGTCGACTGCTGCCAGCATCCGCCCTCCCTCTGCCTCTGCCTCTGCCATCTGCGCGCCCGCCTCAGCGCCGTGTTCCACAGCCTTGGCCTGTGCCATTTGACCCTGATCGCTGTCCTGGCATCCCGGATTGAATGAGGCTTAGCAGCACCCGACTCCCATCATCATCATCATCATCATCACCACCGCCGCCGCCGCCGCCAGCCCCGGCACTGCTGCTGCTGCTGCCGCTGCCATCAACCATCATCTCCTCTGCCATCACCCTGCCGTGACCAATCCACCAACCTCGCCCGACCACCGCGCCCATCCCACAGCCAGCACCGCTTCGCCCTCGCCGCTTGTACTTACCGTCTCCAGCCACGAGGCTTGTTGACCTGTCAGCAGCGGCGTTTGCAGTGCCCGGCGACGTTGCAAGCTTCGCCGACTCCAGATCCCGCGCCTTCCTCGTCAACTTGCTGGGGAAGCCTCCTCCGCACGAGCCAACAGCAGCCCTGGAGTCTCGGATCTAGCTCGACAACACCACCCTACCAACCATTCAACACCACCACCACCAACACCGTCGCTACGAACCCCTCCGCCTGCGAGCGCCCACCCACCCAGGCCCCGCCTCCATCCAGCTCTCTCCCATCCTGGCGCCCGTCGCCCCTTCCGACTGCCCACGTTGCGAGGCCCCCTTTGACCCGAGCTGCGTGTCGGATTCACCCGACGGGAACCATCACCACAGCTCCACCACTCCAACGCGCCCCCCTGCGCCGCCATCGACTCTCCACAATCCATCGCGCCCGCCCCGACTACACGCAGACGACGTCCTCGCGACGCGCTGGGCCCGGTGCTCACCCATTGTCCCGCGCCCGACGTCCATCATCGTCCGCGGCCGCGAGCCGCACTAGACGACAGCCACCATGGGTATCTGCATGAGCACAAACAACGACGATGTCGAGCAAAAGAAGCGCAGCCAGGCCATCGACCGCAAGCTCGAGGAGGACTCGCGCAGGTTACGGCGAGAATGCAAGATCCTGCTGCTGGGTGAGTGGCCAAGAAAAAGCGCTGGCCAGCCCTGCTCTATTCAGCCCTGCTAACCCGCCCCTACAGGTTCCGGAGAGAGTGGCAAGTCGACCATTGTCAAGCAAATGAAGATTATACACCAAAACGGCTACACGCAGGAGGAGCTTGCCATGTACCGCCTGACCATCTACAAGAACGTCATCGACTGTGCAAAGGCTCTTATTGGCGCCATGAGGCAATTCGACATTACGTGCGAGAAACCAGGCAACGCCGAGCTATGCGACTATCTGGCCAACTACACCGTCGATCCAGATCCGGAAAAGCCACTCGATCAAAGAGTAGGCCAGGCCATCACATCCATGTGGCGCGACCCTTGCATACCAAAGGTGCTAGAGCACTCGAGCGAATTCTACCTCATGGACTCTGCGCCCTAGTACGTTTGCGCATCACGTTTCCATCGACTTGGCTGACACTTGTAGCTTCTTCGACGAGGTGGAACGGATATCGGACCCCAACTACGTGCCCGTCGAATCCGACGTCCTACGAGCGCGCACCAAGACAACTGGCATTTATGAAACACGATTTACAATGGGCCAGCTTAGCATCCAGTGCGTGCGCGACTTCAAACATGTGTCTGGTGCTCGGACTAACCTGAAACAGTATGTTTGATGTTGGAGGCCAACGGAGCGAACGCAAGAAATGGATACATTGTTTCGAGAACGTCACATCCATTATTTTCTGCGTAGCCTTGAGCGAATACGACCAGGTATTGCTGGAAGAGAGCTCACAAGTATACACTCCAACCACCTGTTCGTTGGGTCTAGTACTGACTCGCGGCCTAGAATCGAATGATGGAGAGTTTGGTGCTTTTTGACTCGGTAGTCAACAGTCGATGGTTCATGCGAACAAGTATCATTCTCTTCCTAAACAAGGTCGACTTGTTCAAAGCCAAGCTTGCACGATCACCGCTCGGCAACTACTTCCCAGACTACTCGGGCGGCAACGACGTCAACCGTGCCGCAAAATATCTGTTGTGGAGATTTAATCAGGTAAATCGGGCACACCTGAATCTCTATCCTCAGTAAGAATAACATATCCAAACCCCCCCCCCCCCACTATGCACGCCTAACCAAGACAGCCTTACACAAGCCACCGATACATCAAACATCCGACTCGTCTTCGCCGCCGTCAAGGAGACGATACTACAAAATGCGCTCAAAGACTCTGGCATATTGTGATTTGCCCATACAACATCCACGGTCCTCTGTCGCCCGCTCGGCCTCGGGCCTATTGAGTGCTCCGCCTTCGAAATTTGCGCACGCGCGTTCCTCCGTCTACACTTACTACATAATACACGAGCCCTTTTACGATCATTACTCCCGATCGTGCCACTGATGAGGCACACTTGCGGCCACGAACTGGGATTTGGGAGATATCATTGCCTCTAGCTATTGACACATAGAGAGCGCAGCATTGGTGTTTTTGGCGTTGAAAGATTCCCTGGGCCTAGTCCTTTTGTTTTTTCCAATCTTGGGGATGCGAAATGGGGCATCACACTACACACATTTTCGCACACACGCACACACACACATTATCATCGTCGTCTCTCTCTCTGGGAATTGGGAACTGGGCTCTGGGTTTTTTGTTGTTTTATCTTCTGTGTCTTTTTTTTTGACCTTGTTGTTCTTTGGAATTTTTGTCCCTAACCCGCATTCATCTTCTTTTTCTTTTCTTCTTTCTCTCGTGCCTAGTTTCGACCTATCTCAACCCGCCCGATATCTCCCGCTTTTTTTTATCTTTTTTTTTATCTGGTCCAACTGGTTTAGCCCTCTGTCTCTCTCTCTCTGTCGTGTGTGTGTGGTATGTTGTGTGTACGTGTGTGGAATTGAGAAAGAAAAAGTTGAATTGGAACATTTTTCACTCCCTTCCTCTTCCCTTTCTCCCCTTCTTCCGCTTTTTGTGACTCGGGGTTTCGCCCGGTTTTTAGTCAAAATGGGAAGCACAGCGGAGAGAGGGTTGCGGCAAATAACCACCGTTTTTCTTGTACGCTTATATTAAAGCCTTCTCTCTTTTATGACGCTTTTTCTCCCCCTCAAGCTCTATTTCCTCTATCCCTCCCGTTTTCTTTTTACAAGTTTCTCTTATATCGAGGTCTACACACACACACACACCATTGCTACAACTATGCAAAGGATGTGTCGTGCTGGCGGGGGAAGTACCGTCGGATGGAAGGGGGCGGGGGCCTTTTTTTTACTCCAAAAAAAGGGAAAAAGATGTCTAAGATACTGTCTGGAACACTTTTCTTTGGATTACTATTTGTTTGTATTTTGAGTCCTAGGACATCTTTTGGCTTGGCTTGGTCTTTTTTTACTACAAACTCGGGCCTGAGCGGTTGTATGTGGCTGAGAGGTTTCCAATCAACTATGATTCGGTACTCTTTTGCGGAAATTCTCTATAGTATACTATCCATGTCTTTTCTAGCTGGAAGGAAGTGTGGTGCGGGGGGGACTTTCTGGAGGGTGGGGGTTGCTAGTGCTGGGTGCTATATATATGTAATGGTATACGGTCGAATTATTACTAAAAAACTATTATATTGTTCATATTGTAACTGGTATACTGTCACCCATTGCGAAAGGTCTACATTACTGACTGTGTTGTTGAGTTTGCTTTCCTTTTTTTGGAAAGATGTAAGATGTCACAAGCTCTACACTCGCTGTTTCGTCTACTAGCATTTTTCTTTCTTTCCTTTACTCTCCTACCAAAACGTCGGACATTGCTTATATGTGAAACTAGTTACTAAACACCTCGCGTCTCCGTCTTACCTAATAAGAGCCATCGCTTTTCCATGCGCGTATGGCGCTTCGTAGCGTAACCGCAGTCAACGCACCGCACGTGACTGCTGCATTCATAGTCCATACCGCCTCCACCATACCTCTCTGACCAACTATCGAACACCACGCGTATACACTCATGTGTGTTGAGTTGTTGACTCCCTCACCGCGCATCCCATCTCCATCGTTGACCCAGAAAAGAAAAGAAAAAAGGGTCCATGTATCGAGGGCACGTGAACATATATATATCTCTCCTTCATTTTTTTGTCGTGTCCTCGAACGACGGATGGCCCGTTGCTGCAGCGCATACGTAGTATTGAAGGACCGTGAGGAGCATGTGACCGTGTATCCCCCCCCCCCATGTTGGTCTTGCAAGAGAAAGACGGTAACGGTGTAGAAATGAATACACGGATACACCGCACATTGCTATCCGTGACAAGGAATCAATGCACAAAAAGTGAGAGATGGCGCGTCTTCTTCTTCTTCTTTTCCGAGATACGGAAAAGAACAAGAAGAAGAGGGAAGTAGACATGCGAATACCACGGTACGGTACTCGGAACAATCTCCCCTTCCGTCTTCGTTAGTACCTTGACACCCCCCCAAACTTTCATCCGCATCTTGTGCACATTTAAAAAAAACAACCCCCCCGCCAAGACATCCTCTCCCTCATGACCAAGAGAGAAAAAAAAAGGGGGGGGGGGGGGAAGTACGAGGAAATAACGATGTGACATCCACCCCGCCCCAGCCCCAGCCCCAGCCCAAAAACCAAGCAAGTAAAAGCACAGGAGGAGTCAAGAAGGGGGGGGAGAGGGGGAGGCTCGGCGGCGGCGGCGCGGGGCGCAGGCGCGGGCGGAGCGGTGTATTGTTTGCTCGTCTTGGCTTCCCTTGCTTTTTTTCTCTCTTCCCAGTCTTATCAATGTTGCTGTGTTTTTGTCATGGAAGGATTCGTGTCTCAACCCCTCCCCCCTTTTAGCATCGAGTATTTGATTTTTCAGAGACTCGATGTGTTTGTGTTAGGTAAAACGGTATTTGCTGTTGTTGAACACTTAAAAAAAAACACACACATGCAGACGTGGTGGTAGTCATGATTGTGAATAATCGTACGAGGCACGCCATGGTTGTTTGGTCTTAATGGTTTGGTTTACATAGTAGTAGTAGTTTGCAACTATTATCAGGCCACTGTTGCAAGGGACTCAACGTATAAGCACGTTTAAGCTTTTTTTCCCTTTCCCATGTAGCCAGGGTTCTTGTTTGAGGGTCCTGCTTAATGTGGAGAAGAACAAGGGGGAATCAAGTGTTACAAGGTGTCTGTTTAGGGGATGGCCACGCGGGAAAAGAGTGGAGAAGATGATGTTGCTGTTACGAGAATTGGAATGGCCGGCGGAGTGGGGGGTTGGGTGGGTGGATGGCAAGGTTTTTCTCCACCGCTGCAGCCACATGGTATTATTCTTGCATCACACTTGGAACAGCACATCAAAAGGCAAGAAAAAAAAAGAGGGTGTCCTCAGGTGATACTGTCATTTTTTTTGGTCCGAGTATCTTAGTTCGCCCGCTTATTCCTAGCTAGCTGGAATCCCACAAATGAATCAAAACGCCTATTCCATGCCGTCCCACCCAAAACCACCGAGCCGCGAGTGATTTTTTGTCATGTTGATATCGACTTCTGAAAGGATAAAGGAAAAAAAGATGAAATGGTATCGTAACATCGTAAACGCCAATGCAGCAATATGCTTTTAAAGCTCAAGGTGCTGCATGTTGCAACTGAAAGTTGTTGCCGGGACAGTGTAGGGCAAACTGCTCTTGCAGCTACTGGCTTGCACGAGAAGCATCTACTCGATGTTGGACAAGAAAGCCGACCTCTCGAAGCTCATGCGCCTCTGTCGCTCAGCAGCGCTCATCTCCTTAAGACTGCCCGGCGGGGCAGCATACTTCGCATTAACCGCAAGAGGAGAGAATATCTTAAGGCCAAGGATTGGTGAATCGTCATGTTTTGTGGCGGTGGGAGAAGATGGCGGGCTGAGAGTGCTAGCCTCTGAGGGCGGAGCTCCGATGCTTGAGTTGCTGGAGATGGAGGATACGGACTGATGACGTCCGCTGTTCTGTCGGTTGGAAAGAAACCCGTGAGCAGGCACGAGGGGCTCTGCGGCAGGTACAGCTGCGACGGTTTTCTTGACGGGAGTGTTGACAGCGAGAAACGACGTGGGGAAGGGGATGTGGTAGGTTGGGCGGGTGGAAGCCATTGCGCCAGGATGGATGTTGATGTTGAGTAGAGAAGTGGTTGTTTTTTTTGGCTTAGGGCGAATGAGTATTTGTAAGTGATAAGGATGGATTTGGTGGAGTGTGGTGTTTGTGTGTTGTGGGGGAGTGACCGAGAGGCCGAGGGCAGTCCTTATATGTGAACAGAGGGGTATGCGTAATGGAGGAGTGACAAGACTAGAGTCGTCCGTGGGTAAGGCCGTAGCGCTGCCAAGTGAGTTTCCGCTGAGCCTTGCGTGTGTTAAATGGGCCCTGTAACTGGCTGGAACGGCTTGGGGATCTACCAAAAGCAACTGAGACGCTTCCAAAGTAGGCGCTTGTGGAGCTAGTGGGCAACTAGTCTATGGATAACTCCGCTTAGCATAAAAGAGCTGGTTCCGCAGAGGACCTGGGGCCTAGGGTTGCAGCGCGGGATGTTGCAGATGCTTCCGCGCGCTTGAGCTTGGCGGACCAGTTGCGCTTGAAAATGTCGATAGTATTGGTGCGGCAGGCTTCCGGTGAAGGCGGCTTCGTTGACAGATAAGACTGCAAACAGGTGCGCGTTTCAACTGCGTAAGCCTCTTGTGTGTGCAAGTATGATCGACGGCGAATCTGAGGCTGTTTGTGGGGCTCGACGAGCTTGGCAAGATAGATGCACAGGCAAAAGGGTGTTTCTTGTAAGTTCAGTAGCGTATCACTGCTTGGTGGTGGTGTAGTTTATTGGTTGCCGGACGGTTTTGGGTATGCCGAGACTGGCAAGGCGCGCTTGGTGGTGGCTAGGGCTTGGAAGTAGATGGGCGAGTACCAAGATGGCTTGGCAAGAAGGTTAATTGTTTGACGCGGCGGAGTGGAGATTGGATAGACTACTGTGATTGAGGAAGAAGAAAGGGTGGCCATGTCGAGCGCTTGTGAATTAATAGCATAGGCAGTCACGGCGATAAGATTTGTCGGAAGCGTCGGTCCAAAGGGTGGTCGCACGGGTGGCAAGTGAATGGTGAGCAGAGAGGGACCGACATGGCGGCGGCGGCATGGGCGGGGGAGTCGACTGAACAGGAGTGGACAGGAGTCGAGGGCATGGTGGAAATGTGCAAAGCTGGGATGCAGGCTGCCGGTGCTTGGTCGGTGGGTGGAGTAGACAGGAGAGCATGATCCACCACGTTGATGTAGCTAGAGTGCTCGGTGGCTAGCACTCGTGGGGGGGCGTTTCTGACCAAGCAATGGCTGCATCAGGTAAGAGAATGACGCGACGCTCTCCCGCCGCCGTGTCGTGGTCGCGCTATAGGCTCGTAGGGTGGTAGGCTCATTTCCTCGACGGCGCAGAGGACAGCAGTAGGCGTGCATACGACACCTCACGTCGTTGGTGCCATGTCATGGTCATTTGCTTTTCAGCGAACGTTCCTGGGGGGGAGGGGAAATGTCTAACCAGTCTCGGGGGGCACATGATGCGGGGGTTGCGCATCGGTCGCAGGCGGATCCGCGCCATGCTGTCCACCACCTCCTCCGGTCATGCTAAGCCGAAGATAGCCTCGGAGCCTCGATACCACGGCATGGGGGAGACGGGGGAGGGGGGAGGGGGCGTGGGTTGAAAGACTTCACCACTCGCGGCGTGCGCCATGGCGTGAGATGGAGAAAAAGATGGGAGAGTTCCGGCGGAGCTTACCCGAGCAAATTCCTCCGGAGCTGCATCTCGCTATTGCTATCTTATCTCCGCTGCTCCTACTGTGTAAGTACCTACTAAGCGACGGCCCCTGCAGACGCGACCTTCTACAACAGACATAGGTACGCGCGCTTCAGCTACATCTCACACAGCTACGCCTCATGCTCGACTACACGACACTCTACATTCGGCGCTTCTAGGCCGTTGCCCATCCCTGCATCCACCGGCCATATCCCCAGATGTATACCGGCTATCTCTACACGCACCAGCCTCCCTTACTCTCCTTGCAAAGATCTTCGTTATGCATACATACACCGGCAGCTTAGAGTATAGCAGCAACAAACTTCAATACACCTGAAACCCATGCCTGTAACAGCCTACCCGTCTTATCTTGACATCTGTCATCGATCGAAAACTTAGTCCCACGGAGCCAACCACCTGCGCTACCACATACCTCGTGCATTCCAGGCCAGCCACAGCGGCCCACCTATGCCATGGAAACTCACCTTAACTCCATCTCATTTTTAATATGTGTGATGGATCCTTATGTCCGGCTTAGATGCGACCCTCAACAACTGTCCAGGTGGCGACATGTAAGCAGAGCCACCTGGACGAGCACACGTCCGGTCGGTCCGCACCAGTAGACATCGAATCCCTTGGAATTGGTTTTGGTGTCTTTTTTTTCGAAAAAAAGACGTCATGATTCAATGTCACGCATTAGCCATGGCCACACCAATCGTGCAGCCAGTCCCAAAGCATGACCTCCTGCATGGCCACTCTGAATCCGCTTCCTCTGCCAGGCCTATAATAAGACGACGTATGCACGTCTGCATCTTGCCCACCTGCCAAAAACACACTCCCCCTAGCCTGTTTCCATCCTGCAAAGGCTGCCGGCTGCCGTGGCGCCAACAGCGAGGGATGCACACCAAGGAATCGTGAAATAAGCGGTGTGACTTAGATCCAACTTGCCCTGTCATGCTGGCCCGTGTGAGCCACCAACCCCACACTGTGCCCATAGTCCGGTGAAAGAGTGCGGAGTACCAAGAAAAAAACACCACTAGAATATTTCAACAAGCTGGAAGACGTCTCGGAGCATTTTTTTTCTTTTCGTTCTAGAACTAGAAGAATGCCTCAATACACTAAACAAGTGTGTGTCAAAGAAATATCCCGAGTGTAGCGGAAATGCTTGACCGGAGACTGTGTGACTGACTAGATGGTAACACGCATGAACCATTGTCAAGGGATCATTGACCATGAAGTGTCCTCGCACATAGCGGTTAGTATAGCTGTTGCATCGATACGAGCGAGATTAGCGCAAGTTGGTGGAGCATGGCGCATTTCTCGCAGCTGAGAACCCCCAAGAACGATTGGTCCTACTCTGCTTGCTGCAGAATACTTTCAAGTCATCGAATGACATTCAAAAAAAAAGAACCAGACATAAGATTTCTTTTCAAGGCGTTCCTGGATGATATCATCAAACTGTATTTCTGTTGCCCGCACCTAAAACACCAAGCCGGACACACGTAGTCTACGTCTTTATCTTTTGACAGCCGCAACCTTACAAGTGATCGGCTCACTTTCCATGTGCATGCCACATCCCACATCAAGACCCATTGGGAATTTAAGCTGTTTTAACGTTCCGGTAAGAGTACGTTGCCGTTGCTGTATCAAAGTGGGGTCAGCACTACTAGTCACAACACCAACATTCGCAAGCGTTGGCGTCTTTATGCATCGCAGAAAAAAAAGCTTGAACAAACGCTAAAGCATGTGATAATCAGATTCTGACGCCTCGTCCCGGAAGTCTGTTAGTGTATCTAGTGCGTCAGTGACGCGTAATTTTGACCAGGGACGTGGGGTATAAGCTGCGTGTGTGCACCGGAGGGGTTGTCCTAGGGTACGCGTCAAGCCTCTTGTACTACTACCATCGGAGTATGTGGGCAGTCATTGATAAGGATTGGCCGACCTTCACTCAATCAACATGCTCGTTTGGCAGAGGCTTTGGCGATCGCAATCCTGACTGCGACCTGTCATTGCACATTTGTTTCGCCAATGAATATCATAATCTTCTAATGGCCACAGATCACAATCTGCCAGTCCAATCAACACACCTGCATAGACACCTGACCCTTTTTCCAATCCATACATCAAAAAATCAAGCAACGATCATCAAGGCAAGTTACAAACACGTCTGCACCTATGTAGTGGTTGCGCAGAGCCCATGTGTTGGCGCTCCAAATCATTAGGGCCTTGGCACTGGACGTTCAGAAGGTCTTCCGACGCCTACTGATAGTCACCATTCTTGCTTTTTCCTTCTTGCTATCTGGTAAACGTACCCCGCATCCACAACTATTGTTGCAGTGAGGACCAAAGTATTTTTTGGAATGATCTACGCCAAGTCGGAGGTGTTCGTGGCCTTGAACTTGGGCACTTTTGGTACTATTTTTGCTTGTTTTCTAATTGAGAGAACGGTCATTCAGCATTACTGGTACTTGCGAAGGTATTGTGAATTCATATTCAATATGGATGTATATGGTTTGAATAGCAACGGCCATGAGAAGGATAGGAGTGTTGCTGCAAAATCGATGTTTTCATTCGTCTCTTCTCTTCTCTTCTATACTGCCATGCTTTTTCACCAAGTTCATCTCTCAGCAAGTTGTCATGTCACCTCAATCCATCCGAGTCCTTTACTTTCACCTCAATTAATTTGCAATGTCTATTGACACACCCGTTTCTCGGCTCACGTTTCGTCAGTCTACGTCTCGAGACATGATCTTGCATTTGAGCCTGGCTGCATTGTGGCATACACATTGATAGTTCTATTCCCAATCTCATATTCGAATCTTCCGCTGGTCGTCTTTTCTCTCCCACATTCAATCTGATCACTACAAACTTGTAATACTGTACCTTCGAAGCAGTCATCTCTCACTATCATATCACTTTCCACTGTTATCCTACTATATGAACCACTGCTGAGCGATCTCGGCCGCCTTTCAGAAGGCTTTGGAACCTGATAGATATCAGCCCGTTATCGTCTCGCCTAATCAGTCTGATTCTCTCATCACTGTGAGGGCCAGGGGCGCTAAGTACGCTGCACATATCGTCACGCAGGCCTCACTCCTCACTCCTACCTTCAGATTCCCACAACACCATTCACTTCACCATGTAAACGCAGAATCTGCAAGAAGCTCGGCCTCGGCCTTGGCTTGTGCTTGAAAAATACGCACATAAAGTCCACTTACCCGCTATCACCTCTACCCTTCACCTTCTTGTCACTAACCTCCCACACTCCCTCTGACCAAGCCACCAACTCTGGTGGTCTTGCCTCAGATTACCACTCAACAAGATGGACGCCACCGAGCTCGCAGGTAAGCATACCACACTCGACGAGACTTTGATCAGTTCTCACAACAGCAGCCGTCCAAAAACGTCTCAAGGAAATTCACCTCTACGCCACTTACGGCCCCGCCAATGAGAACGATCCAGGTAAGTGTAACCAACCGCCTTCAGTAGGTTCATCTACTCAGTACTAACGCACAAAGACCCGTTCGATGAGATTCGTCAAGCCGAATTCGGCAATGCTCTCCCACACGAAGAAAGCGAGGACAAAGTCCTCGATCCCACCAAAGTAATATCCTCTCCTCCCCCATCCTCACCATCCACCTCCAAACTAACCATACAACCAGAAGCTCCCCTTTCTCCCCACGGAGATTCTCACTGAGATAATGTCCCACACCAACCCATCGGACCTCCCCGCCCTGCGTCAGACCAGCAAGCGCTTCCGCTTCGCCGCCAAATCCCTCTTTGGTAAGCGCCTCGTCAACTCCCGCACCTTATACCCCACCTACACGAGCCTTTCCTCCTTCCTGGCCTTGCTCCTCATCGACCCATCCTACCCCCACCTCGTCCGCACCCTCTCGTTGGTAAGCGAGCACGCTGCACCCAACCCGTACGGCTACGATTGGGCATGGGAGGAGCTTCAGAACAGGGAGCGAACAGGTCCTACGCGCGTTGATCGCATCATCAAGCAGCGTATTGAGATGCATCATGAGCGGTGGTGCGCGAGCAGTGCGGCGTTTGTCTTCGGAGGGGGCTATAGGGATATGTTGAGTAAGTTAACCCTTACTACTCCCCCCGTCACTCCTTCGCTCCTGTGTTCCTTTCCGTTTCGTTTGTCTTCGTTGCGCCATGTGTCTGTGTGTGTACTGGGTAACTCATTACAACTCCCACACCCAGCTATCATCTTCAAACGCCTCCCCGCGCTCCAGACGATCCGCCTGCGCAAGTTGTCTCTCGGTGAGAACATTCCTGGACCAGACGGCATCGAGCTTCTCCAAGGAGCACTACAGGACTTGTCGTTTTACCGTCCTGGGTTGCCGGTCAACCGTGTCTTCTATGGAGAGTGGCAGTACGACATGGTCTACCAGTGCATCACGACGCTCATTGACGAGTACGGAGACGAGTACATCTGGGACGGGGCGGGTCCCCAAGCAGATTGTCGTGCAGATGCTCTCGCTGCGGTGAAGAGGACCAAGAGCAAGGCTGTTGTTGTCAAGACTAAGAGGGGATTTGTTGAAGAAATCGACGAAGATTCTGACGACGAGATGCACGATAACGATTCCGACGACGACATGTTCAACGAGGATGATGACGACTGAGAAAAGCACCGGTGCACTCATCATCATCATCATCAACAACAACAACAACAACGTTGATTGACTTTCCCGAACCCCAATTGAGAGGGCGAGACGGAAGTTTGGGCTGCTACTGGGTCAATTGTACGATATTTGCGGATTTGTGCATTGTCCTTGATGGACTGAGATTGCCATTTACGATGATCTGAGATTGCGGTTTGAGAGGTGATACCCGCCAAGGTGGAAGATGAACATGGATTGACATATGGTGGTGGAGAGACCAGTCACCGGTAGTAGCCCCGCGACGACGACGACGATGATGATGATGATTTCAACAAAAAAGTACACATACAACAAAACGACACATACAGCAAAACGAAACATACAACGGAAACGACACATATAGCAAAATAACGTAATGCAACTCAATATCATGGTGGACACTTAAAATCATTTTTCTTTTTCTTTTTTTGCGTGATATCTATACATGTATCCCTTCAACTCTCCCCAAACGCAAACACCCTCCAGTTTTTCCCCAACTGGGCCACCCCATCTTCCAACTCCCACCCCTTAATCTTACATATCCTGCGCACAATGTCTTCAAGCCTCCTATCCATTTCCTCACCAGCAGTATGCAAATCGCTCTCAACAAGCAGCATATGATCCGGCACCGTCCTGACCATCTCCGCAAAACTCTCCGGCGTCTCCTCATCCATCTTATCGGAGAGATTAATCGCAGTGCTGAAACTCGCAAAGACTTGCGCTGGGATAGCCGGATTGAGATACTGTTTGAAATTCGACACGTTGCCCGAGTAAGAATGAAGACAGATGCGTGGTGGATAGGGCTTTGCTTCCTTTTCCTTGCCCACATGACTCGTTCCCTCTGCATCCGCTTCAATCGCAGCCTCAGCAGCCGGATGATCGACCCCACGTTTCTTGCGCTCCCGCTTGCTCAGTACCTGCTTCTCGTGGCCCTTCCAGAGCTCAGATAGGACTTCCAGCACCAGTCCGTGGGCTTGGACTCCGTGCACGCTTACGCCCCGGTTCATTTCCGCTGCGAGCTGGAGTTGCAGTTTGAAAATCTTCTTCTGGTGCGAGGGGCTGGCGCGGAAGGGGGTAAGGCGCCGTCCTTCGCGCCCGCCGGGAGTCAGGCTGTTGTCGCGTTTGCACCAGAGATCTGGGGTTCCGGTCCAGGACTCGGGGATGCGGAAGGAGCGGTCGAGTCCGATTTCGCCGACAAGAGCGTAGGGGTATTGTTGTAGGTGGTGGCGGGTGTGGGATAGGAAGGTGCTAAAGGGGGTGGGGTCGGGGAGGGAGAGGTAGGTTTGGATGTCTTCTTCGCTGGGGTTTTCGCGAGAGGGATGTAGGGCTGTTTTGTAGTGTGCAATCTTGGTTTCTCCGGTAAGGTTTCCTTGCTCTTTGAAACTGCTATCTGGGTCGATATCTGACGTGAGGTACATTTGGTGTGAGAACCACGGGTGCCAGCCGAAACATGGGACGATGCATTCTTCTCTTGACCATTGGGAGGGATCTGCAGATCTGATGGTGTGCTTATCCGCTGTAGCAGTTACGAGATCTTGATCTTCGGCTCTTGTTGCCATGACAGTAAGTACTCGTGCTTTCATATTTTGTATTATTTCGATGCTGGACATGGTATCGGTGGGATGACAATGCGCATCGTAGACACCCAGATGCCATGGGAAGTTTTCTTCATTGCTATTTTTCGTCGCCATTGTAGTCAATATGATATATTTTGTTAAATTCTCCGCTTTTTAAATTGTATCTGATGTTCTGGGTTGCAAGTCTGAAATGTGGTCTTGAGTATGACGTAGATGTGAGGCTGGTCGGAGCAGCCTTTTTCCGCTTCCCGTCATCAAAGGGCCTTCTACGCTGCATCGATCGCTGGGGTATCCATACCAGGCGACGGGGAATTTACTTCCACATGACTTAAAAAGGAAAAACAGGGCAGGTATGAATTGTCAATACTCGACATGTCTTGCATTTGGACTACCCAAAAACTAAGCTATGTACAACAAAAGGGGATGCTATTTTACATGGCCTCCTCCTTATTCGCTTTCATTACAACTAGTCCTTGTCACCCATTTGAGAGGGCGTCTCGCATGCCAACAAGACACAACGAGGAAAAAATAAAAAAAAACAGAAAAACAAAAATACAAATACAGACGCATATACCCAATTGCACCTTGTTTCTCCCACCGGACAATTAGGGAAAAAGAAAATGCGATGCAGACTTGTATAGGCCGTGGTAGGTGTGAACTAGCAAAACAAAGCAAAGAAAGGAAACCTCACCAATGATGGAGAACCCCAAGAGATAAACGCCATAGCTATGCCAAACTTATGGATCTCAGGAGTAAAATGACTTAATGGAAGGAGCACGGGAATGCAGGCGGCTAGGAAAACGGAGGGGGTGCGAGTACGTGGGAAGCCGTTGCTTGGATGACGAGGCTGATGCATGTAGGAGGGCGTAGTTGGCTTTGGTACTGCGCTCGGGCAAAATAATATCAGTCACCAGTTGAGGACTGTGTCTAGTATGATACAAGGGTGTGAAGGAGTGTGGAGAATATAGAGGCGGTGACGGTCAAGGCACTACCTTGCTACACGGTGAATCAACCTAGACAAGCATGTTAGTGATAAAGGGAACGATGGTGATGATGGCCAGGCAAATCATGTACCTTAGAGTGCTAATAGCAAATGTGGCAATCCACGCAATGAGGGCAATGAAGAGCGTGGCCGTCAGGCCCTTTTGTCTCTCACAGATGCTCATTCTGTAAGGGCAAGAATTTTCGCTGCCGGATTCAACGCATGCCCATTTCTCATCAGTGAGGGCCTGAAAAGCTAAACTAAGGTTGGCAGACTCGAAGACAATAAAGGCCAAGTCGAGGAAGATCAACGACATTTTGGCATTGTGTGAACGCAGTCCGAGGGGTTTCGACGTGTACTCGTCGTAGGTGATGTAGAGGGTGTAGATGATTGCTACAATGTCGACAAGGATGGCCATCCATGTCGACGAGTTGTTGCTGCAGCCATTGTTGTCCGAATGGCGGTAGATAGAAGCTGCTAGAGAGAGGGCGAGGGTAGAGAAGACGAGCACAAAGGCACGGATCACGGCAGGGACCATGGGATGGTTCATCACGGTGTTGTGGAAGCGTACAAAAGCGTGCCTTCTTTTCTCCGACGTAAAGAGCCAGAAGCCCTTGATCTGTTCCTTGGGCGCACTCTCGCCAATGGGCTCCCATTTTTGCTCGAGGTCGGGCATGTTCTCCTTCATCCAATCGTCGTCTACAATCTGGCCGCGTGACGAGATGGGGCGGTCGAGGTTGGAGCCCTGGGTGAACTGTTTCCACTTGGGAGCACTGTCGCTAACTGGGGTGCCCAGGGTGACGGGGGCGCCCTCGCGGACATGATCAAACTTGCGACCCGGGACGTTTGACTTTGGCGTCGGGCAGAAGTTGTGGGTTGCATGGCGGACCGTAGTGGGCGTCCGGGGCAGGAGGAAAGAGGTGGCATCGGCATCGTCCTCGTCTTCGGCAGACTGGACCCAAGGAGGCAGTGAGCGTACAGCACGCTGGCGTTCCCTGTTCTCCGCGCTCGCGGTCAGGCTTCGGTTCGAGGACGCCAGGGTGCGCGGAGTGCTGGAGATGGAGTACGACTGGCTCTTCCGGGCGGGGCCTCCGTCGTGGCTGTCCTTGGAGACGCCCGAGACGGCGCTGATGCGGGACTGGGGGCGCTGGAATGAGTGCGGGTGCGAGTGCAGCGACGAGGACGAGGGCGGCGGGATGGGCGAGGGCAGTAGCCTGTTTGGCTGTGCTGGGGCGGGGGCAGTCGGGGTGTTAGTGGTGGTGGAGGCGGCCGAGGACGAAGGCGAGGGCGAGGACGAGGTCATGGCCGGGGCGCTGGAGGAGGCATTTGGACTGGAGACGTGGGCGCTCCCCTGGGCGGCAGCCACGTCTGGGCGAAGCAAGGCGGCCGCGTCGGTGAGGCCAACGGGGTCGATGTCATTGTTGTCCGTCTTTGTGGGCTCGCCCATGGGAGTGCTGGTCATGCTTGTCGGAGGATGTCAGGGGCGTCCTCGTCGCACCAGCGGTTCCCTTGAACAAGGCGCCCGTCCCTGATGTCAGATGTTGCGCCCAAGCAAGATTCGAAGGGGGGTGGTTGGAAGCTTGGCGCCAACGCAGCGCGGCAGAGGAGCAGTTAGGTGGGAGCAAAGTAAACAAGACGCGCACACAGCATCGTCCAGCAGGGCGGCGGTCTGGCGAGGCGGGCGGGCGCAGCGGACAGCGCAGACAGGTCAGACAGGCCAGGCGGCGCGGGAGCTGTGTGTTGAGCGTTGGAGCGCTGCCGTCAAAGTGTGGGTGGTGGAGCGTTGCGAGGCCCGTTCACCCAGAGGCCAAAGGTTGGCTGCATCTGGGAGATTGCTTGTTGGCCGATCCTCAGCTTGCCACCCACCCGCCTGCAGCCTCGGGACAGTCCCCATAGCAATTCACTTGCCCTGTACTATACACACACCTACTCGACTGGATTTCTTTTCTCGCCCTCTCACCCTCTCTCTAGTACTACTCTTCTCTAGCATGCACTGCCAGCGCCTGCACAGCCTGCCCTGCACAGCCACAGGGCCGCTCTCTCGCCACAGGTGCGCTGGCTAGGCCATGGTGGTCGCAGGTTTTAATAACCTGACGTAGGCTCACCTGCAATCTGCGCCATTGTGTGCTGACACAAAGGCTGCATTCCACGACTTGCATACTTCCATACTGACGTAGTAGTCCCATCTGCTTACACGCTACCCCCGCTTACCTAAGCAGCCCACCCTCTGCGCCAATACCACCCACTCCCCGCACCCACCACCAAAACCCCTTCACGATGCGTCTCTTCCTGCTGCCCATCTCCACCCGCCGCTCCCTCATCTACTGCGAGAAGCTGCACGAAAAGGCCCCAAAGGATCGCTCCCTCTATGACAAAATCACCCTCAAGGCGAGCGAGACGTGGGTGGCTTGGGAAAAGGACCA